TGAACTGGGTAGTGGCATATGTCCTTTTAAGAGAAATGCAGTCTGCCTACAGCCTTATGGTCTTTAGTGGTCATGTCAGGCTATCCCACCTTAAAAGACATATCCATGTGTAGCTAACAGCTGCAGAACTTTTGGGTCTCCTTGTGTTTAGCAAGTTCTCCCCACTGCTAGTGTGCCTTCCAAAAGGGAGCTTCCCACAACTGGAATCTTGGAGCCTCCTCTCCTTCGCTACTTGCAGTTTTTCAGTGTCCTGACTAGCATTTTTAAATTCTGCATATTGTGATTATCTTCCCCAGTATCTAAAATAAAATCAATTTCCTGTTTCAGTATTAGAGGAGCTCTCTTTTCAAATGAGTTTGCTTGAGTGAACTGAGTGAGTTTGAAGCTGTGTAAGCAACCACCTTTTTCCCTCTACTGAGTTCTTGCAGATACCAGATCTAAAAAACACAGGGACTTGCAGCAGCCTGCACACCCTTTCCTATTGTGTAACTGCTATTGAACTGCTGCCATGTTACAGCTGAAGAATATGTCCATCCTATTTTGGCTCTTGACTGCTCTTAGAGCACTCTTCTTTGTGCTGAAAGACAAAAAAAAAAAAAAAAAAAAGGAAAACACTTTATATTAGTCATTAGAATAATTTCCAGAGTTGCTTTACACTCATTTGGCTATGCACAAATACTAGGCTCTTCCAGATACTGGTTTAACAGTTGCCTCCCTGAAATTTCATTTAGAACACTTTAAAAAGGCACAAAAGCCTTCCACTCTTTTTCTATTTTCCAAGCTCACAATGTATTCTTGGCATTATCATTAAGATACTTGGAAACAGTAACACGATATAGAAGTACTTACCTGTTCTTCCCAGATGAACTCATCCTCTCACCTTTCCCCTTGCAGCTCCAGAAATGTTTTGGCAAACAGCTCCATTGGAAACAATTAAAATAAACCAACCTTCATCACAGCTTCTTCATCCACCATCATCTGAGCAGTAACTTTATTTGAAAGAGTTTACACTCATCCCCCACAGGCTTTGAAATAAGCAGCTGGTCAGTAACACTTCCACTCCTTCCCCCAAAGGGACTTACAGCCAGGATAATTAAGAAAAGAGGATCTTAAAACAAAATTTATGTGCCAAGATGAGCATAGATGGTATCACTTTTAGAAACCATATTCCACTTTGTTTCAGTGCACATGTAAACCTTTTTGTCCAGTTAATTTGTATACCAGGAATGACATTATGCCTTATGCCTGACCATCATTTCCATGAACCCTAACAGTTCTCTGTGCTGTACTGACATGGATGTGACAGTGACAGTAGACCTAGACCACCACACACCTAAAAAAAATTATGATATGATGTATTTAATACACTTAATCTTGAAATCTGTGTTTCTTATGCAGCTGGCTTTGTATAGTACCCAGTGAATACCCAATTTAAGCATTCAAATGCTTGGTTTCTTTAAGAGCATGCTTGTCAGAATAAGCACTGAGACACAAAGACAGGTTTCTATGTGTGAACTTGGATTAGACTTAGACTGAGCATTTTCTTCTTTGAGCAAAGTCATCACACATTCCTACTTAACTTCCTCATCTCTCCTTCAGGATCTCCCAACTGATTCTCCAGGTCAGGAAACAGGGCGGTTGCTTACCAGAGTCCACAGTGCCCATAGTCACTTCAGTAACAAGGACAACCCATAGGTACTGCAGTGCAGGATGTCAGCACAGTAAAGCACACACAAACCTCTCAGCTGCACAGGCTGAGGAGCACACAGACACTGCAGCAGGTGCTCATTAACAGCATTGAAGCAGAGCATACTGATGTTTAGGAAATGCCACAGGCGAGTTTTCAGTTCTGCTGTCACCTTCTATCTTCTCCTATGGGATGCAGCCACAGCACCTAGTTCTGCAACAGGACTGCAAGCTTCTTACAGACACTGCAGCTGAGGCCTGCTGGGTCAGGATAGATTTGGACATTGGCACTTTCAGGTGAACACATTATCCAAGTCTGAGACATGTAACATAGGTTTCATCATTAACATCTCTGACAAGCTGTGACCAACAAGTAAGATTCATGCACTGGCAAGTATCAAATCCTCCAAAACAGACCAAAGTGAACAACACACACAGAGAAAATATGTTTTACTTCTCTCTTGCATCAGCTGTTCATTTGGGTAGTTTCTGAAGTCGTTTCCTTTCTCCTACCTTAGCTGAGACATCAGTGGCACCTACATCTACAGATAAAGACATAAGAAATAAATAACAAAACACAATTATCTGTAAAGTGGGGTGCACAGCATCCTCCTCAGAGCAGCAGCACTGACTGCAGGGGGATGGGGAGGCAGTGAAGGGAACCACTGCAGGTAAAACCAACAGTTTCTAAACCAGTTTAACAAAACATCCTGTAATTCAGCCAGCAGACCATCCTGGATGAGGATTTCACATGCACTTTTTCTGACAGTTATAGAAAAGATAACCAAACTTGACCCAACCACTCCACTGCAATATTTACCATCCTTACCAGGTATCTTTATGCAGAAATAAAATCACAGGCCTAAAGTCTACAGTGAACAACAGCTGTGACAGAAGTCATCAAAGTGCCACAGCTCACCTAATCAAAAGGTATCTGCATAGAGGAGAAACAGAATAAGGAAAGAAATAAAAAGGGCTGTACTTGTAATTCAGAATTCTCCAGATATATGGAACTAGTGATGCTACAAATTTTATTCGAAGAGCATTACACTCCCACCACTCCTTTTCTTCAGTGAGGAGTATGATAAAACAGGAGAACCTGCCTGTGAGGAGAAGCACTCTTAGAACACTAGACTTTTTGCACGATGGCATGCAACTGGTTCAGCTTCCTGAACTAGAGGGAGCTGCACCTAAAGTGATAAAAACATAGCATACATTGCTGTAGTACCAACAAATCTTGAAAGGCTGCAATGTTCAGGTGAGTTATCTGCACCACAGAACATCTCACAACATCCTTCCTCCAGCACTCGTGTACCCTGTGGCAAACACACCACCCGTGTAGGTGTAGGTACTGGGCAGCAATACCCTGAGCAAATGCCTTGTACTTACCTCCAGGAGGAGCCAAAGGATGAAATAAATCCTTGTGACTTCATTTTACCTGAGCTGCACCATTACTGGACTTTAGCCAAGACTTCAAGCAAGCCTGCAAAACTCTTCAGGACTCTTTCCAATTTAGTATCCTCTTGGCATAATGAAGTGCTTTATTTCACAGGAATCAGCTGTAACTAGAAATGGTACTATTTCACAAGCCATGCAACACTTTGACCATCTTCCCTTCCAGTTTTGAGCACAGGTCTTCCACACAGGGTTTCAGGGAACTCCAGTCCCCTTAAGGCTCACAGAGCTTTGATTACTCTCTCATTTGGTGAACATGTGTTTCCCATTCCCCAGCACAAAAGAGTAGCACAAGCAGGGACAATGTTCACTACAAGAAAGCCTAAAAGCACTGCTCAAAATTCCAGCCTAACTCCTGCATGCCAGCCAGAGGGCTGAAACTAAGACAGCATCTAGTCAGCTGGCAAAGGCATGCCAATGTGAGACAGCAAGTACAGGCAAACAATGGACAAGCAAGTCATCTTGGCTGCTCCCATACCATGCTGAGATGTCTTACACCATCTCATCTGCCCTCTCAGCTTTTTTAAACTTGATTTATGTTCTATGGATATTGAATTATACATTTGGGTTGGAAGTGACCTCAAAGACCAACTGGTAGCAACCCTCTCCTGCCATGGGCAGGGACACCTTCCAATAGATCAGGCTGCCCAGTGCCCCATCCAGCCTGGCCTTGAGCACTTCCAGAGATAGGGTATCACAGCTTCTCCGGGCACCCTGTGATGGTGCCTCCCCACCCTCACAGTAAAGAATTTTCCCCGCATATCTAATCTCAACCTACCCACTTCCAGACATACTAAGGACTTTAAAAGGAAGCAAAGCTCCTCCTGCTGGTCACACCAAGCCGTACGTCTCTGACAACCAGACACCATTAGTGCAATTATCAGGCATCGGGCAGAGCCAGAACCCTTAACAAACCCCCTCAAACCAGGGAAGCGCAGGCTGTCACCTGCCGTGCGACAAGGGCAGGTTCCAATCTCCTCCCTGCGCACAGCCGCCCCACCAAGGTCAGCCCTGCTCTTCAACCCACAGTCCGTGCTCGGTCCAAGGCCAAGCACCGTGCCGGTACCGCCCCGCCCGGGCCCTCTTCCCGTACGGCGGAGGGCACAGCCCCAAGCGGCACCGTGCCCGCCGCGGCTCCTGCGCCACAGCGCGGCCTCCCCGTCCGCGCCCGCCCGCCCCGGCAGCCGCGACCGCCACGCACCCACCGCAGCCCCTCCGAGCCCCGGGACAGACTCCGGCCCCACGGCCCGGCTCCCAGCACAGAGAGGCGCTGCCTCAGCCAGAGCCCGCAGTCACCGAGTGACAATCGGCCGTGTCCTTCAGGGCACCCCTCCCCACCCCGCCGCGCCCCGCCGGCCATTCCTCAGCCTCCCCCTTCTTTGTCAGCCGCTCGCACGAGCTCTTCCTTGCCCCTTAAACCAAGACAGGACTCCCACCCTTCCCCTTTTTCCGACATCTTAATCCGGCTTCCCCACCGCTCCTCCAGAGCTAAGCGTCCCACGCCATCAACATGGCGGCGGCCACCGCCTCCTTCCCTAGCCCGCTCCCCAACGCGGCCGCGCGGCGCGGGATCTGCCGGGAAAGGGAGTCCACTCCTTGCACACTGCTGCACTGTGACCGCCAAAAAAACTACAAACCCCAGAAGCCCCCTGTGCCGAGGGGGCCAGCCAATGGCGAGGCGGCGGCGCGGGCAGTGGCCCCGCCCCGGCGGGCGAGAGGGGTGATGTCATTGCCCAGCGGGGGCCGCGGGGGCGCGCCGCGCGCCGCCGCTCATTGTGCTCGGCCGGTGCTGCGTCCGGGGCCGGCAGGGGGGCCGCGCTCCCGCTGCTGCTGCGCTGCCTGCGGCGGGCGGCCCCGCTCGCATCCCGCACACCGCTGCCCTGCGCCCAGCCCTGCGGCTCCTGTCCCGGGCGTCCTGGCCCCAGGGTAGCTCGGCAGCGTTCCGGAGGGCTGCGCTGCGCTGCACGGGCGGTGGGGACCGAACACACATCCCCGAGCGGGACTGCCTCTTGCGCCCAGCCCTCTGCACCCATCCCGGGGAGCTGCCCTGCGCCGGGAGGGTGGCCGGCACCCATCCCGGTGGAAGTGGGCTGCCTCCCGCTCGTCTCCGGGGCGCGCAGCTCGGCCGGCGTGCGGGGGCTGCAGCGCCCAGCCCCGCTGTGCCCGGCGTGCGGCGGCGGCCCGGGGCTGCCGCTCCTTCCCAGCGCCGCCGGCCGGCTCCTGGCTCCCGCCTCGTTTTATGGTCGTGGAGAGGGAGGACAAATCCCAAACCAGGTGAGTTCTGCGCTGCTCTTCTCTTTTGGCGTGCTTTTCCTTGTCCTGTTACGTCCTCCCTGCCAGGCCCCCGTCTCCCGATGCCCTTCCCCGCGCCGTGGGCTCCTCAGCGGGAGCAGCGCTACCGGGCGGGACCGCGCCGTCGTTCCCTGGTCCTGCTGAAAAAGGAGAGGCGGAGGGACGGGGAAGAGGGGAAAAAACCCGCTGCATGGTGTCATCCCGCGGAGATGAGCCCTGTCGCTGCTCTTGTGGCCCGGGCTGCGCGTCCCGCAGCGCCCGGGAAAGTCCCGCAACTCCGGGATGCTCCGGGCGCTGCGCGGTCCCTCGCTGGGTAAGAGTGGAGAATCAGATGGATTTGGGATCGGTGTCGTTAAGCGCTGCGGAGCCTGAGAGCCGGGCTCCTGAGGACAGGGTAAATCCGAGGTGTGCTCTAGGGTGGTTTTGTGGGCGTTGTTGTGCTGTCGTGCGGGTTCCTGGCTTTGACACCGCTATTCCTCCCCTCTTTCAGGGAAATGGGGGATTTGAATCCAGCTGGCTTTCGGTCCTGGCTGTGTGCAGTTGGTCCAGGTTTCTTTTCCAAGCCCCATAATGAGTTAGTATCTTAAAAATTCTCGGCTGGACAGTCTGATGTTTTATTTCAACTTCCATACTACTCTTCTGATCTTTTTCAGTTTTGTCGTAAATACAAGTAGTGCCTCTATTTTAAACTTTGTAGAAACTTCAGCAGAGTTTCATTTTAGTGTGGCTTTTTATTTGTTTCCCTGTTCCTTGCTTTTGTGAGATGCAATTTGGATCCTTACTTGAATAGTGCTAAAATATCAGTATAACGTAAGATTTGTATGATTTTGTTTGTTTGTTATTATGTGACATCAGAAGGTTTTATCCCCTTCTATAACTAAATTGTTTCTGCGATTGCTAGTGTACCCCAGACACCTCATTTTGTGCTGGTGCAATGAAATGTGCGCACACAGAGGGGTCCTGCTCCCTTCAAGTCTGTCAGTCTCTTTCAGTGCCTTTGAAAGTTGATCTTTCACCAAAACCCCGCTTGGAGGCTGTTCTGAGAGCAGCAGGAGAGCGTGCAGCTGAGCTGATATTTTTAATATTTTTCCTCCCCTCTGCTGCATATTTGCTTCTGCACTTCTCTTGTGTAACTGGCACTGTGTGTCCTCTGGCAGGGCTCTCCCTGGAATTGCAGTGCTGGGGAGAGGCTGACATGAGTGCAGTGGGGACAATGAAACTCCCTGTTTGGTTTGCTCAAAATGTTTGTAAACACCCAGGCGGTGTTGGGGTGTCCCTGTGCAAGGGATGGTGCTCCACAGCTGCCCCTCTTCCAGTGGGATAAACATGCTGCATCCACATCTCCTTGCCTTTATTTTAACTGGGTTTTTTCCTTCCTTCCTCTTTGCTACTGAATCAAAGGGGAAGAACAAAAGTGCATGCAGGCGTTGCCTTTGCTTGGTCTTTTTTTAACATTTTTGTTTCCTGGAATGGCGTTTTCCTCTTTATTTTACAAGGGAGGGAGCAGACAATCTAATAGAGTGTTTCCCATCTTGGCTGTAAAAGGAGAAGTTTTATAGCAGTGATTTTGTTAGCTTGGGATAGAAGGCACTGGATATGAAGTGATAATTTGAAAGTGTAGCCTGGGAATTGTTCTGGGAAATACTGATATAGAAGTTGGTGAGAACAAGCAAAGAATCCATGACCAGGGATTTTGCATTTAAATAATACAACTCTTGTGATGTACATATTTTTAATTTCTATTTTCAAATTTCTATATGTGTATATCTTGAACAAAACAAGCATAAATAGCAATACATATTTGTATGTTTTTGAAAATATATTTCATTTTTGGGATTTAGAAAGATTTGTGACAAGGTATGTGTTAGCATTTTCAAGCTATATTATACTATATCATGAGGTGGATTAAAAATGTACCTCAGAAATATACATTATTGTATCAATCGGCTTAAATTTTGCCTTTCAGAAGCTGAAATACAGACATGTAGAAAGGGACAAAAAAGCTGAAAATCACTTGATTGCTGAGAAAAAACCCAGAGTTGGGGGACCCTTCCTCTTGTCCCATGAAGACCTAAATGCAGTGTATGTGTTTACACTGAATCAAGAATTCTCCAAAATGCCAGTTGCTGGAAGCAAAGAAAATAACCCAGGAAGGCAGCACTAAACATTTCCTCAGGTCCTTTACTTTACCCTCTCCCCATTTCTTACTCAGGTCCAGTTTCCTGAAGGGAAATTCAGGATTAGGTGGTCTCATGGTCATACTCTCCAGAGTTTTCTTGTATTTTAGTCCTGTTCCTCAGGAAATTGAGTGTGATGCCAATAATTGGCATCCTAGTGAAGCCAGAAATCACATCCTTGGAAATGGGTTTTATGAGCATCACCTGTGTGCCCTGGACTTCGCCTGTCCCAGAAGTGTTGCTGCCCTGGGATGCTTGCTTGTCACCCAAACTCGGGGACAGGGATACCCAAAGACTGGAGTGAGGGGAACTGGAGGAGCCAGAGCTGGGCCAGCCCTGCTGACTCTTCAGCTTAACTTTGCTCCAGAGATGAGCTATGAGAGGACAGGGATTTCTGCAGCCTGGAGCTGGAAGCTGGTGAGACAGCTGAAGTTCCTGAGCCAGAGGTGGATGGCTGGAGGTGGCTCTTCGGGGAGGAACTGCGGAGTCGCTTCCCAAGCAAGGGCAGAAAGGTCTCTGCAGGCAAACACCCCCATTTGTCACCCTGCTGTGAAAGAGCTTTTCTCTGTTGGCTGCTCTGGGCTGTGTGCTCCCCATCTTCCCAGACCCAGCTGCAGGTGGTGGGTGCTGCTCACAGCCTGAGCTGGGTGTGGGGGCTCTCTAATGCAAGCCTTAGAGAGCACATGGTTCCAGCTCTGGAGCTGCCCTGGTTTGGTCCTTGCTGGGAGAGCCAAGCTGGCATCCATCTGCTGGCAAATTGAGACACTTGCTCTGAGTTTTGTGGTGTGTCCCAGAGAGGTGTACTTGCAGCTGGGCTTTTTGTGGGAGGCGCAGGTTTGTTGGCATTTTCTTATTTTTACATAAAATGTAGCCAAACAAGGAATAATAATAGCTGGGATCTAGATAGATTCCATTTCTTATTTTAAGGCTTATTGCCTTTTTGTAAGGACAGGACCAGCAGTTTGAGTGCAAGCCTTGCTTTCTGTGAGTACAGAAGGAGTGGGCAATGTGCTAGGTGCTAGTTTGTGCATATACAAATATGCACGTTTTTGTCAAATAACCACCCAGGCATTGAGAAAATTAGAGAGATTTGTTGCTACTGTGTGGCTGGCATGGCAGGAGTGCAGAAAGTAGCACAAGATGGGCATACCCATACCTTGCAGTGATGAAGCTCTTTAGATACTGATGCTTGTATGGATGTTTGCAAAACTTTGGAACAGGAGATTTAGGAGACAGTAAAAAACTTCCTATATTACAGATGGGTTTCTGACACCAAAAACATCAGCCCAGTTGGAGAGGTCTTGGGGCAGTTGAGAAGGTCTTGGGGCAGAGATGCTCAGCAGCAGCTCTGCTTTGGCTGGAGGGCAGATGAGATGACCTGAGGCAGTGTTTTGATTGACTTCCTAGTTTCCACAATTTCATTTTGCAGCAAGTAATTTAGCTTCCTGCTCCCTCCCAGTGCTTCTGTCAATAACTAACTAAATTCTCATTTTATTTTTAATGGCTCTCTTACAATGGGAAAGAAGTGGTCTGTCATGTTTGTCATATAATCCTGGTTGGCCTGTGTATAAATAATGAATTTAAAGTGGGGGGAGGGAAGGGGTTGAGTCAAGTATTCCTCAGGTGCTAATATGTTGAAATAATTAGGGCAGAACAAGGATAAAACTTGTCCCCTGAAATCATTGTCAGCTTTTAAACAGTCAGGACCACACTGAAGTCTGTTGCTGTTGCAGTAGTTTCATAACTAATCTGTGCTATTAAACACTGGCCCTGCATAAGGTATTAGTGAGATTTGTGTTGTAATGTCATTTGATTTCACCTTGAATAGATAAAAATAATTAGTGAGCTTTGTTGCTTTGAGCTGAGGAGAGATATTTAGGTTGTGAACAGCTTGAGATTCACTTGCTATTTGTCATCTCGCCTCTCCTGGAGTTACTGCTTTCACTACACTGCAGAGGTGCACTGTTCCCTAATATACTTAAGGCAAAATTTAAACCTATTTAAAACCTATTTAACCTAGCTATTAGTTTCCTGAGATAATTTGGGAATACTTGTACAAACAGAGGAGAAAACCTTCAGTAGGTCTCGCAGAAATCTGCTGCTGTCCTTTTAAACATCACAGGATACCCTGTTTATTTTCTTTCCTTTTAGCAGAAATACTGTCTTTTGAGTACTGCTGAACTAAAAAGTTAACTGTAACCTTTAAGTATCTGAATAGTGTTTTCTTTTAGACCTTGAAAAGAGTAATGAGAAAAGGAAAGAGAGAAGAGGAAAGGCAGGAAAGGCTCTGTTGGCATGAAAAAAGATGAGCTTGTGCATGGTTTCTTAAAAGACTGTATCCTGCAGGCTGAATTTAAAAGGGGAGGGGAAAAAAAAAGAGGTGTTAGAGATGCCAAAGTACAGAAGTCAAGCAGTGCTTGGGTTACTGTGTCCTGCTAAAGCTGCCCTCCACAGAGAGAGGGACTTCATCAGGGCCCCAGCAGCCCAGCCCTCTGCTGCACTGTGCTGCTTCTCCTCTGCAGTGAAGGCTCCAAAAACTCAACTCTGCTTTTTTTGATTAAGCAAAATCTCAGTTTCTCAAAGGGCAGCATGTGTGCATTTAAAGTGGGTGTATTTCTTGATATAAATCCAGGCTGTTGTTTGTAAAAGAGAATTGTCATGGAACTACCATCCCGTAGGCTGGTGCTGAGCCCTGGTGCCAATAATTTTGGAACAGTGCAGAAAATGAATCTGACTGCGTGTGAGAGTCTCGCATCCCCCACAGGAACAATCATTTCCATGTGCTTTCCTGAGTGTGTTGAACCA